CAATCTTTTATCTGTTGGTTTACTTAAAGTCTATAATGTTCTACTATGAATGCAAATCTTTAATATAGTCTAAATTTCCAGTCCCACCCTCAAAAACTATGATATTTAACAGTTGAATTTTTATAACGTATCAACACATTATTTTTAGTCGGTCATCAAACTGAATCATGAATTAGTAGTTGCAAGAGTACGCAAAACTGCAGAGAGTCCTTGAAAATTGAAAATGCTTGTGCAATGATATAGTTTTAAATTATAAAAGAAACCCTTCAAAAAATTGTATTAACAGGACCAGAGGACCAATATGCACATGGTATTTCATTTGTATAAGGCAAAAAGTTCAAATCATATTAATTTATGATTGCCAATAGATTTTGGGTTTCCATAAAAACAATTATATAAAACTGTCTGCAAAATGTCGATAAAACTAATTTTATAAGAAATGGTAGATTCTTCTGTTGCTCTGTAGGCGACCATTTTGTTTACACAAGGAAGTCCAAACTTATATCTTAGTTTGAACAACGTCATCTTGATTTTACATTGCACAAGATACATAATTGACACATAGGCTTACAAAAAAAAAAGAAGTAAAGAAAGTAACTTGTGATGGACCGCGCAGACATAGGAACAGTCAAGACTTGCCTCTTACTGACGTTTTCCAAACGAATATAGAAGTTAGATCTACATTCTTCATTTTAGGCTTGAAATAAATTTGTTTGTGGGTAAGAGCGAATGAGTAAGCATGAACAATAATTTTACCCTTCTCCCCGACACGCCACCATACCACAGCATCTTACTAGTAGAGCTCAAGGTCATTGACGTAATTGTAATGAACTAAATTTAGACTTCCACCCCCCAATGACACCAATGGGGGCCCTAAAGGTTGGTATGTAACAATTCATGACGGTTGAACAATGGCCTTTAAAATACGCTTTTAATTTGTTTTCTAGCGTTTACCGTATCTTAGAAAAAGTTAGTTTACATAATTATTAACAAAAACTTTTTGGGCCAAAGAAAAATTCTGAAAAGCTACAAATTAATTTATAATATATGTATCTATATCGTATTAAAGTGAGATAAAGGTTTGGCGTTTGGTTTACAATGTAAAAATTTTCAAAGTCACAAGATGGTTTCTGAAACTCTTTATACAACTCTCCTTTATACAAATTAAAAAAAAATATGATCCAAGAAATTGAGCTCTTTAGCCACAAAATCCACCGTTTTTTTACTTACCTGACGAAGAAATAAAAACAGTAGCAGCCGACGAACTTTGTTATGTCATATTTTAAAACTCATTTAAAAGTACCGACTTTATTTCAAGATTTAAAATAGAAAATATAAACTTTTGAGCTTTTAATTAGAACCAATAGTGTCCTAGACTAATTGACATCTTTAATACGAAGTTTCAACGATTTAAATTAGTCTAAATAGGCTAAATGTCAAGTTATTTTGAAGCTGGACATTGAGTTTTGGTGCCGTTTTCATTGGCATCTACCACTTCTAACCTGCACTAAGATGGCGGACCTGGCTTCAACTGCTTGTATGTTAGTTATATAGACGTGATCCATCTATTGGTCTTATGTGATCGTTGATTTAAACTAACGGAATTCTGATGAAAATTTGAACATGAATTATTAGCAGTTTTGCAGGGATGATTAACAATAGTTTTTTTTTTTTTAATTTGAATTGCTTGTTAGTTGGCAACAAATCTTAGAGATGTGTATACATTTTTTAGGACAAAATTGAATTGGCAGATGTCAGAAGCGTACTAGAAAACGTTACTGTCGCCTCATCCAATTTTTACAGCAGTCAGCTATGCTAGGCGAGCAACCGCGACAGTGAGGACGGGGAACAGCTGATTTCATGTTCCTAGTTGGCAAATTGTCTGCTAGCTACTAACGTACACATGCATAAGCCATCAGCGGTAGCACCAGTAGCCTCATTGACTATATAAACACTTGTGTTAAGGTTTAAATACAGTAGTCAATGTTATTACTGAATTTGATACCATACATATTGTTACTAATATATGAAATGGAGAAAAACGTTACCTTAAAAATACAAAATATCCCAATTTATATCCAGACCTTTTTAAATAGCTTAGAAAACAAATAATTTAGTATATCAAAGTGTTTTTGTACGGTTATTGGTAACAGGACAAATTCAAAAATTGTAAATTTAAAATTCCCATGTTCTTTTTATAAAGAATATTGTAAAATGTTGTAGTTTGCTTGTTTATGGATATATTTTGATCAAACTTGGCAAATTTATTTAAACAATAGCAAAACTATTTAGATCATGAAGGGTACTCTAGTTTTCCCAAGGTAGGACACGTGAATTGGAATTTTGGCGTTACAGGCACAATGACAGTAACAATCAAACAAACGTACAGATATTGACATAAGACTCGTTTCGGCTTTCTTATTATATAAAACGTAGAAATAACCAAACACTTCATGAATCTACGCAATGTACAGACAAAACAGTAAAGACTTTATAATCTTATAATTAACTATAGTGTTTCTGCCCATGCTTCGCAACGGGGTGAGAATCTTTGGGTCTCTAAATCCACCATAAATAGTATATTTCGTACCTAGGGCCGAAAGCGAGGTTTTGCCGACTCTAGATCGGGTTTTAAGTTTGAGACGAACTCGAGAACGTGAAACGATCGAGAGCTGCAAACCCATTTTGGCTCGTGGTACGAACGCTATTTTTTACCCAAGTATGTTTTTTGCAATATAACGTCCCTCTTATTTATGTGAAATATTTTGAGGAATCAGCAAAATCAAAAATAACAATAAATAGTTGTCTAGGCAGCTGTGACAAAAAACAAGTCTATTATTGCAATGCCATGGATACAGCTTTTGCATTTAATATACATCTTTAATATACAATCTTTTATAGTCAGGTTGGGTAGCAGGAAAATATTTCAGTTCTGGCAGACAGGCTGCAATTTTAGGTGGTTATAGTATACAAGTTTCTGAACCTAAAACCGCCCAGACCCCAATTTTTAAGGACCTCGGTCGTCCGTAATGACGTCATCAAAATGGCGGCCGTAAGAGGATGTTGAGTCCCCATGAATTGGCTATAACGACCGAATGCCTGAACCGATTTTCATGAAATTTGGCACACAAGTGCTTGAATACATTATCTCGGCCTGGGTTGAAAATGGTCAAGTTTCATCAAGTCATTTCAAAATGGCGTCCATTCAAAACTAAAAAAATTATGAGGAAAATAATTGTGAATTGTTTTATACAGGGTGAGTTTTAAATGAGTTCCCCTCCCTACTTTTTTATACATTTCTTAAGATATCAACTCCGAACCACGTCAGATAATTGTAGAGTAGCGATTACTTCATTTCGACTAGTTTTTATTTTATCCGTTTTTTGTTATCAAGCTTTCTTGATTAACCTTCATCTACTGGTGGCCACAGTTTGAAAGATGCTACAATTAGGTGTTTGCGAGTATGCGGTAAAACCCCGTATGTGTGTGTGTGTGTCTGTGTGTCTTGATGTGTACAGAGCTAGGGACTACACCTGTGGTCCGATTTCGATGAAATTTGGTATGTAGGTCCTAATCCATGGTATCTCCAGGTGTTTTTTTAATTTTTTTGAAATTTTGATTTTTAATGGGTATTTTCCCATAAAAACCCATAAAAAACCGGAAAAATTGGATTTTCTCAAAAATGGCCCGAACGATTTTGATAAAAATTTAGTATGTTTTAGCCCTTTAAATTTTGAATAAAATGGTACAAATCCCATTTCTGTAAAAATTACGGTTCAAAAGTTATGGTCAAATATGTTATTTTCCCATAAAAACCCCATAAAATAACAAAAAATAGGATTTTGATTTTAGAAAAAAAATCCTGTTTTGATTTAACATAGTAGGTTATGGTCGTTACAATTTTGATATTTTTTTAATTTTTTAGAAATTTGTATTTTTTATGGGAATTTTCCCATAAAACCCCATAAAATAACTGAAAAATAGGATTTTCCCAGAAATGGCTCGAACGATTTTGATAAAAATTTTGTATGTTATACCCCTAGTCCTTTATATTCTAAACAAAATGGTACAAATCCCATTTCTGTAAAAATTACGGTTCAAAAGTTATTGTAAATTATGTCATTTTCCCATAAAACCCGCATAAAATAACAGAAAAATCGGATTTTCCCAAAAATGGCCCGAACAATTTTGATAAAAAATTTTGTATGTTATAGTCCTTTAAATTCTGAACAAAATTGTACAAATCCCATTTCCGTATATTTACACCACTTACACATAATAAAGGTTGTTGAACAACTTATGGGAGAAAGTATGTGTCAGAATGCTGATACCGTTTATTATTGTAATATGTACGCAAACCTAAATTCAAAGAGTAAATATTTAATTTTAACAAGTCCAGTAAGATTGAATTTTTGTAGGACGCATTTCCTTGAATTGCAACTTAAATATTAACAGCAATTAAATTATCCAGCTAATCATAATGTAAACAAATATGTTCTTCACTAGGATTGCATGGGAAATTTAAAAGCCACTGGGGCAGAGCCCAAGGGATTTTTTCAAAAATTTAAGGTCAGTTTGCAAATCTATGCGACACGCTCTCTCCAATGAGACGTCAATGGATAAAATCGGTTAAGAAATGGCGGAGGAGTTCAACCGACAAAGTTTCATGTAGCGTATTAATTATATAGATATAATTTGTTTTTTTCAACATTTAGCTGTAAATTATGATTTTTGAAAAATTGAACAATATTTCCTAATTTTAGGAAAGACAAAATTTCAATTTGATCTATTGTTTTATCTGAAAATTTTAGGTTAGTATCATCGGCGTATAAACATATACTGCTTTTCTCGTGAATGGTCAAAATCGGTTAAGAAATGGCGGAGGAGTTCAAAGTACTTATTTTGTGATGACTCATTAATTATATAGATTATATTCTGCTGCATTCAGTAAAAGTATCAACTAGGTTGGCTTATTACACTTCTGACATTTTGTTTTTTAGAGCGAGTTCCGTATTCATCCAGATATTTGCTATGTCGATGTGAAGGAAGGAAGCTCGTGTGTGTATTTGCGGACCACTTCTCCTGAATTTGCAACTTCACTGCTCCAAACCAAACATTGGCCTAACATGGAGTTAATACAAGGTAATTATTTCAATAATTTATGATAGGGTTTCAATTGATGGTTTCCACTATTGCTGGAGTTAAATGTAAATTTTCAAAACTATAATTTAATTTTTGTTGTGAGGCCACAAATACAAAAAAAAGCCTTGAACCTTACACCTACCTTTTAACTTGACACCTAAGAAATGTTTTGTAACAAACAAATTAAATTAAAAGTTATTTCAAAGCTAAAAAGCATATTCTAAAGAGTTGGATATTAAAAATGCTCCCTCCTTCAAAAATTTACAAGCTATGAGAATGAAGCCCTTTTGTATCAGGTTTTGCACATAACGTGTCAGTTCATCCATCCAGTACATTTATTATCAGCTATGAATTAACTAGCCTGAACATTTGTTACTACCTATGATCCAATGTTACTTATAACCAGCATAACTACTAAAAAAAATTTATATTGCAGGAGAAGAAGAAATTGCTTATTGGGATAAGATAAAAAGCGATCGCCTTGAATATTTTCAACAGAAACTTAAACCAAACCAACGAGGACGGACTAAGCTGTTGAAGAGAGCTGAACATTTTTTAGAAAAACAAATTTAGGCCCGTTTATTTTCATACATCGTTTTTTACTGTTCTAAAACCCTGTAGCGTGCATTCCATCTAAGTGTTAATCATACAATTTTCTAAATGAACAGCATAAAACTTACAAACAAACTTATCAACTTACATCTCTACTGTACATTCTTTGGCTTTTTCCTGTGTTAAATAGTTTGTAATATTCAACTGCTTTTCACTTTGGATGTAAAAAAAAATTAAATTAACTGGAGAAAGTGTTTGGGTTTTTGTGTGCTCAAAAACAATAAAAAAGGCTCTATTTTTTACCTTGGCAAACCCCTCATCGGCCACCACACGCTGCTGACATATGCCATATTTTTTTATAATAATCACAATCTTGTAAACTTTTATATGGTGAATAAACATTTCATCATGACCCATGTTGAACTATAAGGAGTATCAAACTATCAATAATCTACAGTATGCTCATATTACTTAGTTCATCACTACTGAAAATTGGTAATCCTACGATAGATAGATACCTACTAAAAAACAATTGATTCTTATTATAAAATAAAAATATGAAATCAATTCATGGAACTTGTTTCATTGTATTGGTTTTGAAGATAATCTTTTAATGGTGATTGGCCCCTTTTAGCGTATTTCCCTTTCAAGTACAGTAGAACCTCTTTAATCCGAACCCCTGTAATCCGAACGTCCACTAATCCGAACGCCTCATTGCTGTACTCTATACACAGTACAGTAGTTTTTTATTGTATACTGTATTTATTGATGTAAGCACTGTAATTATTTCAATTGTAATGTACAGTACTGATTATTCCCTATGTTTACTAATGTATTAAATAAACTCTGTATTTTACTTTATAAAGCATTTTTCACTTTTCCCTAGCTATTGTTATGTAAAAACAACAATATGTTCTGTAATCCGAACTATTCACTAGTCCGAACTACCCCCGGTCCCAATTAGTTCGGATTAAAGAGGTTCTACTGTAGCTATTACCGTAGGTGGTACGGTAAAACCTAGAGTTGTGACCGATATACTTTTTTCATTTTGATGTCCCTAGAGGACAAAAACACTATTCGTTCAAATTTCTTTATAAAGATCATGGCCTTAGTGCTTGAAATAGGTAATAAAAATTAATTACAGGGTACTTTGGTTTTTATTATTTCACGTATTTATTGAAAAAGTAGCCCTAAAAGTGAACAGAATGGTACTTTGTTATTATCTGGTGGTCACCCTTATACTGCGCTCTGTGGCAGTTGTGTAGGGTGGGTTATCATAAATATGTTTGTAATACCTGATAATATGTTTGTAATACATAATATGTTTGTAATACATAATATGTTTGTAACTTTCATTGTTTTGTTATGAATCGAACGATACCAGATGAGTCATACTTTTGCCCGCCAAATCCCCTCCAAGTAGGCCAAGGTCAGGTTGTTGACTGCGCGCATCACCTGTCACCGCCTGTAACTGGGTCAAGGACTACAAACATAGAAGGGCTAACCCACTAGCGCTCGAAAAGTGATTCCAGCCCCCCTCCCATCGCGGGCGTTTGTGACGTAGCCGCGGGCGCTGTCCCGTGCAGCAGTACGGTATCTCATACATATGCATACATTTGCACTCGCTCTGTCGTGAATTTTATTCTAATAATCCAGATTTATGACTATATCGGTTTTTCATAACTATTTATTGACAGTTACCTATACAATAATATAATAATAATGATTTTTTAATATTTTATACAGAAAATAATAATGACAATACTGTCAAATAGGTGTTATTCATAGAACTAGTGGAATCGTTATAAAATAATTAACTAAGAAACAATTAGTAAATTTATCTGCCATAATATTTTAACAGTAAATTGTGATATGCAAATAAAATTAAAAAACTATGGATTTGTAGCATAAACTAAATAATCTGTTTAGCTTAACTTACTAGAATGATTCAAGTTCTATGCTTACACTAACCTCAGTTTCTTTTGATGAAATAAGTAAATAAAAAACCCATACAGTTGACACAAAACACAAATAACATTTTATTATACACATTTTCATTTAGACCTATTGTTTACAGGATTTTTTTATTAAACACCAGGAATAATAATGGTTAGGTTATTTCTTCGTCATTTTAGTAAACTTCACGTATACATGTTGATGTTGTAGACTAGATTTACAACTCAATAAAAAGTCAACTTTTTCCTGACAAGTGTGATGTTATGTAGAAAGGAATGAATTGGCTTGGATTTTAATCAGTTAAATTTGTAAAAATATAAAGCACCTCTTTTAATCTTAACTTTGTGACCGTAAACGAAAGCTACTATAACGGGCTGTAATGGGGGAGGTTATTATACATTTTCGTCTAAGTTCAACTTACCTCCATACGATATTGTTGATATCCAACTATTAGTAGATTTGTGATTGCCGACGGCAGAAGCACTTATTGGGAATTGTTGCCCAAATTGTAAAAGTTCTAATTTCACCATCCAAATGTTTATGCTCCTTTTTTATTTTTCACATTGGCAATTTTTTTAGCTTTGTTTCTCAGAAACCTATTTAGCCGGTTACTTTTGAGTTTGAGGCTGAATTGCGTTTGCTTTAATTGTTCTTTTAATTTGTTTACTTGCGAATTTAATGTTTCTAATTGTTTAGATTTCTCAACAACTCAAACATTCAGAAAGTTTAGAATTTTCCTCGTTCGTATTTGAATTGCAACAATTATCATAATTTACTTCTTGTAATTTTTGATTTTTTTTACTTGGGCCAGTTTGAGTATATGAATTTAGTTTGAGCTAAATTTTTATTGAAGTGTAAGAGGGCTTGAATTAATTAATTTTGGACTTGTAGTAGGGCTTGATTGAGATAAGTTTATAAAATCATTTGTTTGTTTGACAGGACTGTTATTTGGGCTAGTAATTGGCGTATTGATTGTTTTACGCTGGCTACTTTTTTTGGGCTAAGAGATGTTAATGTTTCAAGAGCATTTGTTCTAATTCCTCTTTTTACTTGCCTTATTTTTCTTTCATTAAAACAATCACCCACCTATATTCTAAGGTAGGTGATAATCTAAATATATTATATACTTATATTCTAAAGTAGGCACCTTCTTTTAGTATTATCTGAGAATTTGGGTTTTTAAATCGTCTAAATAATCACTTTCCAAAAGATTTTCACTGCACACTACCACTTTTGGGATCAAAAACATCAGCAGCTTTCTTACACTTCTGTACCCACACATTTCTCAAACTTTGATTTTTTTGGAAAAACGTGATAGACTACATCTTTTGTTGTATTAGAGCGGTTCCTACAAATTGCAACACTGCAGCCCACCATGGTGTAAAAAACTCTTTAAAACTACATGATATGAAACTACTATTACGTGTAAAATAATATTTCTAATATTATATTATTACTAGAGAACCCGTGCGGCTCAATGAGCCGCATAATATGAAACATAACGCCGAGGAAAACGTTATTCTTAAATTCAAAGTAATTCTAATTACATCTTAGAGTTGTTTAAACACTTGTTAGAAACCATTTTAAATATCTGTGTTTGCGTCGTCAAGGCCCACCTACATTATTTCTGCTCTCAGTTTTAACTAAAAACTTCTAATGAATGCTAAACGATCTGCTTTAATTCGAGTTAATATGTTGCAACAAAGTTTTTCCAGCTTTGATAATTGAAGAAAATTGTTGCCTTACTGATAACCTGGGTTAAGTAATTTAAGTTGGGCCATTTTATTTCTTTGATTTGAGACACCCCCATAATCAAACGAATTTTTCTCCGTAGAGAATGCTGTAAAGTGGGGTAATATCAACCATTTCATGTCCTTAATTTTTTACCCACAAACTCTGGGTTAACAACTGGACAGCCATAATCTGCGTTGAATAGGCTAAAGCAGCAACATCATTGAAAGTTGGTTAACGTATTTTAACGTGTTGTCTGTCAGTCACAGTATGTGCCCCGCATCAGAACGTTCTTACGTTGTTCAGTGGAATTCCTCTTTTAATACCGGTACCTGTCCCAACGTTAGGTCGAATTCTTGTAGCTATAAAATTTGGATAGCAATTTTCATTTTCTCTTTTTGAACAGCATACATTATTTGCCTCTCCTGAATCATAAAAATAAACTTGGCCGTAACTACTTGATCGTTGGATACGTAAACACAAATTCCTTTACTTAGTTTGGTCTAATATTGCCACTAAAACTTTCAATAGCAAATGAGTTTTTTTAAACTTTTTATTTTTGACTTGAAATGTCTGCATTGTGTCGGTGAATTCAATCAAAAAACTTTGTATAAGTTTGTCCCAGGAACTGGCAACATAACCTAGTTGCCAATTAAAATTAAACAATCCATTTTCGTTTTTTCTCAATTTAAGTTGAGCGAGTAATACAAAATTTTACATCAAAAACATAAGGTCCGCCAAGATTTTGTATACGGTAATCTTACTACTTGAACTTAGTCAAGGCATTATTATAGTTTCTACTACATTTTTTGAAATATCTCGATCTGTCAGTGTCAGAAGTAAACATTTCTTACATGCATTCATTTGATCTAAAATTAGGCAAGTTTACTTTACCACCGTGACAACACAGCTTCGTATATTTTTACACTTCCAAAGTAAGTTGCATAGCAGAACTGGCAAATATTATTCATCTCACCAAGTGAATGTTTATCTGTTAGACCAGGCCTCTCTTTTTCTACTCTCCTCATGCACATAAGATATCTTATTATTAATTGTCTCCTCCTCCCGTTTTCAATATTTCTTCTTTGAACTTGAGGCATTTTCTGTTCTTCAAACAGAACTGATTAACTGTTTAACTTGGTCTTAACCTACCAAATATTACAAACATTAATATTTACTCCCAAAAAGCTAATGAGTTTCTTTTTATAAACAGCTGTTTTTGTTTTTAAATTTGTTCAATGTATTTCTTATAGGGGAAAACCCGACCTTTGAGAGGGTCTCACGCCCTTAAGAGTTGGAATTTTAAAATTCTAAAACCTTATTGCAAAACTAGATATTGAGACGAATCTTTTGACACCTTAAAAGTTGAAATTAGTCCACAAATAAGGGAGGAGTTGCGTTAAGGGGAGCAGTGCGCGAATACCACTCCCATGTTATTGTTATGGGAAAACATGTGATAA